GGCCTCCTGTGAGGAGGAGTCACCGGAGGACTGTGGTTAAGAGCAAGGGTCTGGGGGAGAGGGGAAAAGGGCTGTTATTCTGGAGTCGTCCGAACGGGAAAGACGTGGAGAGGGTCCGGGGAAGGGCCGCAGAAATGATCAGGGGGATGGAGCACCTCTCGTATGAGGAAAGGCTGAGAGGGTTGGGCTTGTTCAGCCTGGAGGAGAGAAGGCTCCGGGGAGATCTGCTGTGGCTTTTCAGTTCTTAAAAGGGGCCTGTGAGAAAGACGGGGAGAGATTTTTTTATTGAGGCCTGTTGTGAGAGAACAAGGGGTGATGGTTTTAAAGAAAAAGAGGGAGATTCAGGCTGGATGTGAGGAAACAATTCTTTACACTGCGGGTGGTGAAACACTGGCACAGGTTGCACAGAGAGGTGGTGGATGCACCGTCCCTGGAGACATCCAAGGCCAGGCTGGAGGTGGTTTGAGGAACCTGAGCTAGTTGAAGTTATCCCTGCTCATTGCAGGGGGTTGGATTAGATGAGCCGTGAAGGTCCCTTCCAACCCAAACTGTTGTATGATTCTGATACAAAAAAAAGTATCATTGTGATTAAAATCAGAGGTATTAGGATGCTGGAAGTAGCTGTGGTGGGCTTAGTCCTGGTTGTGGAGTGCAGGCATTTTGGGGTCTTGAAATTGTTTACTGTGAGCCCTGTTCTTCTGTGTGTACATATATACACACGCACAGTACCTAAATATGTCATTGTACTGCAGCATTTGTGCACAGCTGAGCTTAGCAATGAAAGAAGACATTGTACTTACTCCAGTACATGAGATTAGATACTGTAACAACCTCTTTAAATAAAACAGACTTCTTTTTTCCTTTCCATTAGGTGCAGACATTGCTTCAGCAAATGCAGGACAAATTTCAAACCATGTCTGACCAAATAATTGGGAGAAATATCCTTTTTTAAACTCAGGTGGTAAACACTACAGAATTGTAAGTATTTTAAAGTATATTTACCAACGGGATCTGTAAGATAAATTTAAAGTGACCATAAAAGTTTGAGCAAAACTGTAACCAGACAAACCAACACAACCAGTACTGGATTGCAATCATATTCCTTGACTCCAGTGAACTTGATGACATGAGCTGTCGCATAGATGACCTGGAGAAGAACATTGCAGACCTCATGACGCAGGCAGGAGTGGAAGAGTTGGAAGGCGAGAACAAGACCCCTGCTGCTAACAAGAGTTAAAGTGAGACAGTTGCTTGCTAAGCCTTGAAATAAATCCTTGTGTCATTTGAAATGACTGTCTTTACCATAGGTGGACTTTTTCCTTTGACTTGTTGGGCAGTCTGAAATTCAGAGCAGATTTATATATATAGAATTGTACTATATGTATAGAGTTATGTACAAGAAGCCTTAAGAAGCTCTCCTCAGCAGGCTTCTACTAACCACTTCACTGAAGGTGTTTTCTATATCAGTATTGAGAAGAGAGTTATTTTCTTCATGTCTATTTAGTTTTGAGGAAGTGCAATAACTGAATTAATCTCTGAGTGAAATCTGAAATAATGACTGCCTTTGCAGTATGAGATGGAGAAGAGGTGGAAAAAAGTGTCAGTGACAAACCAAACTGTTCTCTTTTTATTTCCTCTTATCGTATCTGGTTGATCTGAAGAGGACCATCATCTCATGTATGTTACCAACATCAGCGCCGGTTTCCATAGCTGGAAGGCTGGTGGGAGCGTGGTGCTACTTCTCCATCTTCTGCTGCACCCTGTAGAGTTCAGCTCTGTCTTCTCTGCCAGAGCCTGTAGACTTGCTGCTGTGCACAGGGGCTGATGAGAGAGTTACTGTTCATCAGCTGTCAGTTCCTGCTTGTATAAGTTAGGAGGTTGCTAGGAGTACAACAAAAACATGTAAATAAATTCAGGTGATCAGGTAGCACCGCACACAGCAATTACAGCAATCGCTAAAGGCGTTTCAGAAGATGGGGGCAGTGCAAGTGTGCCACAATGGTTACAGCATTGTCATGGGTTCAGCTGTAACAGTTATTTTTCTCCTTCTTAGTAGCTGGTGCAGTGCTGTGTTTTTGACTTTACTCTTGAGAACAATGTCGGTAACACACCAGTGTGGTCGTTGTTGCTAAATAATGCTTACCCTAATCAAGGACTTTTCAGTCTCATGCTCTGCCAGTGAGGAGGGCACAAGAAGCCAGGAGGAAGCAGAGACAGGACACCTGACCCAGACTGGCCAAAGGGCTATTCCATACCACAGCATGTCATGCCCAGTGTAGAAACTGGGGAGAGTTACCTGGAAGGCCAGATCGCTGCTCAGATTGGGCTGGGTATTGGTCAGTGGGTGATGAGCAATTGTATTGGGCATCACTTGAGCTTACTGTTGTCTTTTCCTTTCCACTTTTAGTTTTGTATTCTCTCCCCTTGTTATTTCCTTTATCATTATTAGTGGTGGTAATTTTGTATTACGCCTTAGCTATTGGTCTGTTCCTATTTCAACCCAAGGGATTTACATTCTGTACATTCACCTCCACATCCCTCTGGGAGCCAGGGCGGGGAAAACGGAGAGTAAACGAGCGGCTGTGTGCCTCTTGAGTTTACCGTCTGCGCTTAAACCATGACAGACATAACCAAGGCAGGGGCTTAGTGCCTAATTATGTTATATGAGCACTAAGATTTCACTTCAATTTGTATAGAGCTTGATTTTTGTCACCCATGGAAGGTAAATAAAGTACTAGATGTATCATGTTAGATTAACTTTTTTATTTTTAAAGTGAGACAGACATGTCTCAGCTTCTCTTAGGCTTGAAATTCTGAGGTCACATCTAGAATACTATGCAGCCTGTATAGCGGGCATGTGTGTTTGCAACAGGAACACCTCTTGTTTGTTAAGGTACCTGTTTGCACTTTGGCAGACATGCAAATTATTATGGGCTTTCTTGCCCTCAGTGCCAGTTCCTTTAGCCTGGGCCCAAAAATGAAAATCTCTGATGAGCATGATTCTCTTAATTCTTCTCAATAATACGTTTTTTAATTATTATTTTTCCCCAACAGGTTGCCAATAACTGAAGATGAATCCTGAAAGACAACTTTTTTCTTTTTTTCTATAAATCCTTGGAATTACAGAACAGCTTTTTTGCATCTACTGTGTGTAAAAGCATTTTTATATTGTTACAGAGCTTGCATAGGATGTATATTGTATAGTTAAGGATAGGTAATTTATATTTTGATTTGTGTACTGTAATTTCACTTTCTGAATTCTTGTTATGAGGATCAATTAGTTGTGTTATTGAAACACAGATCTTACGGATCTCAACTACTGGGTGTATTTTTTTGTGAAGTCACTTTTTTCTCTTTCTTATACTTTTTCTAGATGTGTAGTTTTTGATAGCTAAAGATATAGTGACTCCCATCAAATGCAAATCTTAACTCGTCCTGTGTAACTTTGTGGAGTGAGGCACAAGACTGAAACTTAACATTAATCTTAGCTCTAAGCCTCGGTCACTCAACTAGTTGAGGACTGCGTGTTGTTTTCTCATACATGTAATAAGGTGATTTTTGGTAAACATGAGACAAACATACAAATCATATCTTCTACTCCTGGTATTACCTTACTTGTGTGTTCTAGAACCAGAAATTTAGATTTAATATTAGAGATGTCTGTACGCAGTTGAGCAACCACTGCCATTCAGGTCTATTTGTTAGACAGATAAGGAACTATTGACTATGAAAAAATCTCACTGTGGAGTTTTAAGTTTTTTAACACTGTAAAACTCCACTTTGAAACTGTGTCATTTAGTATCACCTGTGAATAGTAATTGTCATTAGAACAATGGGGCAGAATAGGAATGGGGTTGGAAATGTCTGTATGTAGTTTTACAGTTTAAATCCCAGGCTCATTGCATAAAATGGTTTGCTACCAAACAATGACATACTGAGTAACAAAAAAAGGAGTTAAAATTGCAAATCCTTGCTTCTCTTTGACTAACAACTAGCTGGAATTCTTCAAAATACTTGGTTTGGAAAGACGTTCGCTTTTCTAATCACGTCCACATATATGGGTCTGGGGTTTAATGGATTACATTAGGGTATTTTAGCAATGGAATATTTAGAAGAGTCTGTATTATGTCACTTGTGGAGAAAAATGACCGATGTTGGACATGACTGACAATCATTGCAATGCTCCTCCAGCTGAACACACAAATTTAAGAAGGCATTGGTGGCAGTCAGCAGTTACATGTGGACTCCACTTATGGCTGCTCTTTGAACACCAAATTGGCACCTATGTATTCTGAAAGCAATAGGTCAGGTCATTTTTCAAAACTGGGGACACTATGGAAAGGTCATAATAATAGGAATTCTGTGAATATTGGAAACGTATTGCTGTACCTTGTAATACCAGCCTGGGGCTCTTTGTAATATCACTTAAAAATCTAATAAACTATCATGTAGTAACAAATAGTCAGCTCATATATGTTAAAGCAAAATCTAGCATATTATTACATGTGCAATTGTATTTAGTTACAAGTCACAGAAAGACTTCAGCACAGCCACTCTTACAGAACATGGTCTAGGATACGGGTGTGTTGTGTATGATGAAAGGGTGGGCATGGTTCATGCCCTGTGAAATCTAGGTTTTACTAGGTAATTACAATATAGACCAGATTCATGGGAAAGTATACTAAGGTAGAAGATAATTTTGTATGATGTTCATTCAACGATAAATTTTCACCTGGCCTTCTTTCTCCTGTGGGAGAAATGAATTTGCTTCCCCTGTCCTGCACACAGCAGCAGTCACCCTGCTTTCCTGCAGTTTATTGTGTTAGAATAACTTACTGGGAACTATTTGAGCTTTAAGAAGTAGGTATGTTCTTCACATCACTGGAAAGATTCTAATCACTTTTTAGTAGGGGTAGTTGTCGCTCATAAATTTAATACTTAACTGATTTTGAAAAGTAACAATTCAATTCCAAACAGGCCCTTCAGAGAGGAAGGTACTACTTTATCTCTTCCAGTACGACGTATTTTAGAGAAACGAGTTTTATTGTGGCTCAGAACCTGTGACAGAGCTTCTACGTAGAAACAGCAAGCCAACATGCAGTCCCTTGTGGCCACACTTTCTTGAAGTGCAGTTAGTTTAGCAGACAAAGCAAAGCAGCTGGTGAGTGTTCCTAAGTGTTACTTTATATGGCTTTGGTAACACTTTACAAAATAATAGTGGTTTTGGTTTTTCTTTTGAATATGCTGGTTGACATCTTACCTGACAAATATTTGTCCTTTTCATTGGGCTGTCTCACTTGTGAAGAAAAGGATCAAGCTTTTATGGGTAAGGACTGTTCCTTATTAGACTATGAAGCAAGCTGTTCTGTATTTTCATTGAAATCAGAGTGCTGTGTTCTGTTCAGGGCTGCCACTGGAGACTTACATTTGCATTTTTTGGTTATTTATCTCCATTCTAAACTCTGTACGAGTGCTTTAAGCTGCTCCCTGTCATTATGGTAACAGACACTTGGATTTTACTGCTAACATATTTAGGTTATACATTATCTAGGTTATACATATTAGGTGAGATAGGTGGGAAATGCACTCCAGAGTGTGCCTCATCCTTTGTTCTTCCCCATCCCAGCCCAAGCTCAAGGAAGGGGATAGCAAAGCTGCTTTTAGTAAGTGAGCGTGAGTTACGGAATTGCACAGAACAAGTGGAGTGTCTGCAAGTCCTTCATTTATAGGGAAAAGGAAGAACAGCTGAGGATGGAGGAGACAGAAGCCCCCTGCTCCTGTCTGAGTCCCTCAAGCTCTCCATTGTCTCTGCTTTCACCTCACACCACTCTACTCCAGATTCCCATAAACACCGTCTTTCCCAACCCCTGCTTCTTTTCTATGCTGACTCCTTTTAAGCTGTTGCTGAGGAAAAAAACATTGTTTCCAAACAGTCTCCAGGAAACTATCACGTGGAGATGCTCATTCACACACGGAATATTAGGAACAGCAAATAGAATCAGGGTTTTTTCTAATAACAGGAGTTATGAGTAGCACCACATGTCTTCAGCCACAGTTTTCACAGCCCGTCATTAATAGCAGTATTGGTTTCTGAATGCTCCACTTAAGACCTAAGAACCTAGAGGAAGCTGAAGATCTTAGGAGCTGTGTGGCCCATGTATTTTACATTGGGTAATAGAAATAAATTTGGAACTCGTGTTTCATCTCTTCTGCTGTTTTGATTCCTATCATTATGGCAGGAATGATACTCTCTCAGTACAGAGGAACAGCATTATAATAACTCCATTTATTGGTCCATTTTGAACCACTTAGGCCTGCTGGTAAGTGATCCAGAATTATGGTATCCGTAAGAGGATTTTTCATTTAATCTCTGCACGAAAGACAACGTACGGTAAATAAGACTGCACACACATATCTCTTCAACTAACACCATCTGGTCCCAGCACTAAATGAAGCTGGTTATAGGCGAGAGAGACACACTAAATGATGACACTCGCTATCTGCACGAGCTACATTTGATTCTCTCCTTCCCCTGAGCTGAAGCCAGGTCTCGCAGGTGCCTGGCGAATTCTGCTGCTGTCTTTGGGATGGAGCTCACCAGAAATTACTTGGACTTCACCTTGCAGTCCTCACCGTCTGCTGCTGGCAGGGGAGACAGGGAACATTTGTGCACATTCATGTGATCCGGCCTCCTCTAGCCTTACCTTCTCAACACTCCAATAAAGTACCATTGGTTCCTTTCTTTAGATGAATGAGGCACATGAAATTAGTTTGCTTGAGATTACCATTGTAACCAGTGAGGGACCGAACCTGCTGGTCTTCCAACCCCTGGGGCAGTGCTGAAGTCACTCAGCTTGAAAGCTCATGAAATTCATTGCTTCATATTGTAAATACGTTTGACACTGTGTCTTCAAAAAGAGTTGATTGCACACAGTTTGCTGTGAAACAACCAAGGCCAGAGACACTGCCCATCCTCTAACATTACACTTGAGTCCGTAGTTCTTCTGGAGGGATTCTCATGGAATCACTTAACAAAGCTCTTCACTTTTCCTCAGGATGGTAACTTTCTAGCAGATAGTGCCTTCTAGTGGGCACACTCTCACTAACAGAAAGAACACTACTCAGGTTAATTATTTGGTTACCTTTCACGTACAAGTTCAGATGTTAGGACTTCAATGAGCCACATGCTGTTTTGAAATGCGGTTATTACACAAGACACTGAGGCTTTGTTTACAACGAGGAAAGTTAACAGGATACACAGGCCACTTCCTGAGCTTTGAGACTTACTGTGCTTTGAAAACCCCTGGTGCTTGCTGAGATTTATTTTCTGACTGCAACATAGAATTAATGAAATTAGGTCATTAGGAAAACAAAGCATGGGAATAGAAACTTTCCATCTTACGAGCGCTCTGAGATAGAAAAGATTAAGCACAAATTGTCTGCCTGAAAAATGCATGTGTATTAATAGAAAGTGTTCTTTTATGTCGTTTTGCTACAGACTTGACATTTTTATTTGTGAAGCTCTCATAGTTAGATCCATATGTAAAAATATCTTCAGTTTACAAAGCTGCAGAACACACAATCCTTACTGAAGAGATTAAACCCTGGAGAAGTGATAGAGTGAAGTGTTTCTCAAGTCTCACATTCATAGATTTGTCTGACAAGTCTGCATGGAAGACCCATGATCTTTTTGGGTAAGCCCCCATTCAGATACAGAAAATACAGCAATATAACCCATCCTCCTCTGGGCAAAATGGAGAAAACAGGCAAAGGGCTACCTGAAAACCTCAGCCATCCCCTCTTCAAAACATGTTCATTCTAAAAAGTATTATTTAGAGCTAGAAAGCAATAAGAAGAAATTGAAGAGCACAGCAATAGTTAAATATCTAAGGCCCAAAAGTGCAAAGAGCATTGATCTTCGCAAACAGAGTGATTCTGCAAGGATTTTGTTCGCTTGTGAAGTACCAGGAAGATGACCCTTCAAGGCTCATCACCAGATCTTTTAGGGAAAAAGCATGTGAATTTCTTCCTGGCTTTACAGAGCAGTAAATTTTTTTTAATGTAAATGACTTGTCACCAAAGATAAAACCACCTGAGTGCTTGTTTGCCTGAACTCATGCTGAGAAACACAATATAGGGCCTCAGACGTGTTATTATCTTTAAAATAAATACCTAGTTCCAACCACTGAGAGAGTGATTGTTACTGAATGTTACTGTGACATAAGTGGGGAAAAAAACAAACCAAAACTTTAGGCTTTTTTTTTTTCAGTGGAACCAGCCCTTCTGCTATTGACACACAAAACATCATAAATCAGA